CAAATAAGAAAAAAAAAATCTCTACTGACCAATTTTCCTCATGAACTTAGACACAAAAATCCTCAATAAATTATACGCACAAATAATTCAGCAATATATAAACATCATTATACACCGTGGTCAAATGGGGTTTATTTCAAGGGTGCAAGTCTGGCTCAATCTTTGAAAACCAATCAGCGTAATCCACCACTTCAATGGGCCAAAATAAAAGAAAAAAAAAAACCCAAGGTCTTTCCCGTTCCGGCTTTTACATGTTTCCCTGGGAAAAGGACCACAGGCGCCTCAAATCGACTTGTGCAACTCAGGAGCTAGAGGAACCTGTGTCTCTTTCCTCAGCAGATAGGCCAGGGGACCGCTTAGCCAGCACGGACAGGGAATGTCAAGGATGCTACATGCATCCCCCTCGAACTGCCTCCGCATATAGATACAATCAGGAGGTTGGAGAGACGCTCCACATTGGTTGTCCACCTAGAGAATAGGGACTCAGACTAGAATCTATTTTGACTTATAGAAAAATAAAGGTTACATTTCTTGTGCTCCTGAGCTGTGGGGCCTGGACTCATACCCATTAGCAAGAATTGAATAAATGACAGAAAATATTGTGAATAAAGGTATAGCGGCATAGAAGTGTATGAGTGAGTATGAGTGTGTTAGTTCTGAGTGAGAAGCGCAGCATGTTCAAAGGCCTGGAGATAGATGTGAGCACGTGTATTTTGGGAACTTTGGACCATTCATGGGAAAGTATACCATTGGTTATGCCTGTCAGGTGGGGTTTCCATCTCTACTGTGTTGTGTTGCTTCTTTTACACAGTGACATGTGTGGAAGTTGTGATGCCAGGAAAAATGTGTTTTGATGGAATGCCATACCTACCACCTGGTAACAGTGCTACATGTCTTTGGTTCTCCAGCCCACCCAAGAGGGTGTGCTGCCATTGACCATGAAGGGGCGCCCTCGGCATGTTTGTGAATGTGGGTGGGCCGACTTGCCTTTTCTTCCTCCAGGTGACTGAGCTGCTGAAGTGACAGCTCAGCCACTCCCCCACCAGTAAAACTCTCTAACACTCTGCAGTCCTTTGTGAGTCTGCTCATATTTCCAGACTCATGGAACAGCAGAATTTTAGACCAACAAGGTTCTTAGAGGAGCTGACGTCCTAAATTTACAAATGGAAAATGGGAAAACTGAGGAGCAAAGCAGGAGGGGTGCCTTGTCTAAGTCAGTGACTGAGTCTCCAGGCCTCCAGCCCAATGTTTCGTGGCCATTTCACCTGTTTCATGACCCTCTGGGGTAGCCGCCTCCAAGGAAAGCACCACCTGCTCCTCCAGAGCACCTAAATCCTAACCAGCTTCCAAAACACCCCTCATATACGAGTATCTCCTGAATTGACTTTCCTCATGACAATTCTTGTTAATACTATTTGGCAAGTAAACAACATTGTCTTAATGCCTTATCTACTAGGTTGTTCTGTCAGCTTAAATATATATATAACATATATAAAAATATATAGTTAAATATATATTATATATAAGTATAATATAATATATATATATTTATATATGTTGTTACTTAACTCTTTAAGTCTTTATGCATTACCTTATTCAATAAAACTATTTAATTTTCGAGAATGGGCATCAGATTGCGTGCGTGTTACCCCAATAGTACCAAACACAGTACTGTGTATCAAGTGGGTACATAATAACTATTAGTTGATTTGATGCTGCTAACACAAGTTCACTGCAGTGTAATATGTGACACAAAGGCAGTGTAGTATGAAGGTTAATAACATGGTTTCAGAAGTCGGTAGGCCTGGTTTTGACAAGCTGTATGACCTTGAGCAAGCTGCTTAAGTTCCAAATCTCAGTTTTCTTATCTGCAATATGGAATAAGACTGACAAGAGGATTGAAGGTCTCTTTCTCTCTCTCTCCAATCTTTCTTCGCAACTTTTCTGTAAGTCAAAAGTCATTTCAAGAGAAAAATTTAAAAAATACAGTTGTATGTATAAGTGAAGTATATATAACATACTTGTATGTATACACACACGGTCACAGCCATAAGCCTTCAGTTGATGGCAGCTATTACTACTACTGTCGTGAGTTGGAAATCTTAAAGGACTATTAACTCCATGGAGTTCTATGGCCTCGGACTAAAACTTCAACGAACATAGTCATTGCAACATGTCAATGAAGAAGGGTTACAGGATCCAGACAGGGGCACATGGGTGTGTCCCCATAATTCTCACCCCTTCTCATTCCCACCCCACACTCATCCCCATAAAAAATGTCGATGTGTATTTAATACATAAAATAAAATAAACAAATGTGTATAATTGTACACACAACACTCACTTACAGGGCATCCCCTCCAAAAAACCCAAACAGGCGTGTTTCTCCATAGTTGTTGGCAATCCTCTCTCTCTGCATTAATATCTTCAACCGCTAGGCGGTACCTTAATTCTTCTCAGTGGCAGCGTTTTCGCTCCTTAGCACCAGGGAGTCAGCTCTAAAGTCTTTAAGTGAATCTCTCTTTCTCAGCCTACTGCAGAGTGTGCAAATCATTTCCTCAGCTGATTCAGAGGTGTTATGATGTGCTGGGAAATCTGAGCATTCTCTCACCCTGTGGCCACTAATTTCCTTGAAATAGTCGCTGGATTAAATGTATTTGAACATGCGCTGTTTAAAGCTCAGTGCTGCAAAATGCCATACTCAAGATATATATTATATGTTAAATAATTAACCTTAGTGTGTGAGAAGGTGAGAGAGAGAGAGAGAAGGAAAGACCTTATTTAGTGCCTGGCCAAGGGTGAGACCTATGGCAGCCAAATCTAAAGCTTTCCGTGAATCAGCTAAATCCTGGCTTTACCTGTTACTATAATAGAATTATGTTTTCTTGGGTAAAATACTTAACATCTCTAAGCCTCAGTTTCCTCATCTGTAAAATGGGAATGATAATACCTCAGAAGTATGAGTTTTACATGTCTTATACATGGAAAGCACTGAGTGTTGTGCTTGACATATAGTAGGCACTCATGCAGAACAAGGTTTGGGGTTTTTTGCTTCTTTGGCCCCAGAGATGGCCTCGGTCCTGGCTCCATGGCACTCCCTTTCCTTCTCTGTGCTTCACACTCAGAGTAAGGCCTGTATTGCCTCCCAGATGTCTTGGTGTCATGCTCAGATCTTAGACGTTCTGGAAGCCCCTGTACAGGCCTGCCTTCTCTGAAAGGCACCTGCTCCATGCCTGAAGCCTAGCCTCCTCTTTTTTACTTATTCAAGTTTACCCTCCTTAGTATCCTGATTTGTGGCTGCTGTAACAAAGGGAGCCAACCAACTAGTTCATACGAAGATGCTAATGGCTGAATGGAAGCTCCAGGGGGACAGAGGTCTTGTCATATTCACTACTTATCCCTACTACCTAGCAGATGACCGAACATAGAAAGTGCTCAATAAATATCTGTTGCATGATTATATGGATCTGTGGGAACACAACACCTTAGTGGAAAGTAAACCATTTTGAATGATAGGATTTCAGACGTCTTGACAGGCTGGAGAGGAAAATGTTAAAGGCAGGGCACTCCCACCTGTGTCTTTCAGACCACCGTGGCTAGGTGACATTCTATGTCACTTACATATCCAATTGTATTTTTTTTAAATTTATTTTTATTATTTTTAATTTTTTATTGTTAGTTTCAGGTGTACAGAACAATGCAATAGTTATCCTTTTCACCCTCACAAAGTAACAATTTTAAAAAACCTTTTCTTTTGAAATGCATTTTGACTTACAGAAAAGTTGCAAAGAAAGTGCCCATTTTTTAGCTGCTCTGGATGTTCATGTTAACATCTTACATAGCCATCGTAAAAGCATGGCTTTTGTGATTAAAAGCATGAAATTAACATTGGTACTATGAATGTTACTATTAGTGCTATTAATTACTATTAATTAAACTACAGGCTTAATTCGAATTTCACCAGTTCTTCCACTAATGTGGAGCTCACATTGCATTTAGTTCCCAGGTCTGTTTAGTTTCCCCCGCTCTGTGACACTTCCTCAGTCTTTCCTTGTGTTTGGTGACTTTGCCACTTTTAAAGAATACCAGTCAGTTATAATGTAGAATATGTCAATTGGGTTTTGTTGGATGTTTCTCACTATGAGGCTGAGGCTATGGATTTTGGGCAGGGATACCACAGAGTGATGTGACCTTCTCAGCATATATATCAGGCTATATGATGTCAATATGCCTTATTACTGGTGATAGTTATCCTTGATCACTTGGCTAAGGTGGTGTTTGCTGGGTTTCTTTACTGTAAAACTGCTATTTTCCCTTTATAATTAATAAACATCTTAAGGGAGATATTTTGAGATATGCAAATATTTAATTTCTCTTCAAGTTTTCTCACACTAATTTGAGCATCCACTGGTAGATTCTGCCAGTAATAATTATTACTGTGGTATCTCAGTTTCACATGCCTTATACATGACTCCATGCTGCACCCTCAGGATATAAAAGAATTGGAAAGACTTGCATTACCCCAGCCTATAGAGCTTGGAGAAGACACCCAAATTTGGGGTATAATAGGACAGAGTCCATAAAGAAAGTTTTGTCAGAGCTCCCTACATTATAATGAGCAAAAGAAAAAGGAATACATCACAAGTATGAAAGCAAGTCACATATGAAGGCAAAGGATAGATGACGAACCCTGTCTAGAAGAAAACCCGAGAAACAAAAGAAAATTTCCTCTGGCCATTTGGAGACAGCTGTTTTTGTTTACCAGACTTTTATAGCAATGAAAGAAAAAGAAGAGAAAAAAAAAAGGCCTTAGCTCTTTGATTAACTCTCTACTTTTGGTAGTTAGTACTTAAGAAGAAAAATCAAAGAAGTGCCTAAAACAATAAAAATGAGATAGGATAAGGGATATTGGTTCTACTGTTGTTTATCATAGTTAACACAGATGACTTGTGCAGTCAGAAACTGATTGAGAGCCGATGGAAATACGCACAGCGGAATACCACAGTGTTGAGAATGAAGATTGGGATCTTCATTTCCCGTTTCTGAGTGAGAATAACTAGGTGATGGAGCATCATGTAAAGGAAGACCCCGTTCATGTTGATCTGCTTATCTGTGATCATGTGTTTATGTTCATACAAATGACCATGAGGGTGTTCTCCCAGGATATTATCAAAGGCTCCATGTCTCATGACGGGGTTTCTAATTTTCCACCCTTCTCTGCACTTTTCCGTGTTGGCTATTTTTTTTTTAATCATATATACATTGATTTGATTCCAAAAAAAAAAAAAAAGCTTGTACCCCTTCTGCATTCCTTAAGCTCAAGGGACTTGCAAGATACTTGAAGGACTCCGGGAGGAGGTAGACCAGATGGAATGAGACCAGTGGGTCACATTAACTTTGTAATGAGTGGCCAAACACCTTGCCTGGCCTCAGGACAGTTCTGCAGCCCTGAGCCCCTTGGGATGTCTCAGCAATGGCTGCTTGATCTGAAGCTACCGAAGACCAGCTGGGCAGGCAGGTGTGGGGACATTGGACTTGTGGCAAATGAATTGTTTTGGAAAGCAGAATGGGGCCATGGAAGAGTAAGAGCCCAGCAAATGATTGGCCAGGCCATCTTGGGCAATTATTTGTCTTCTCTAGCTTCAGTCTCCCGGTCCCTAAAATAGAGTTAATGAAACCTACATTATGGGGTTATTGTAGGGGTCAGATAAAATAATATATGTGAAAGATACTCCATAAATGTCAGTTTCCCTCTTCGAAGTCTTTCCGTTGTGCTGTTAAAATTAGAATTTTCATTTTACTGATGATTGGACCTTGGGGTGAGGGCAAATGCATTTGGAAATGTTCGTGGATGGGTCAGCGCCCTCCCTGTCCCCTACTTTGTACCCACACATCTAGCCTTCAACACACTTTAGGATTGCACTGTTGGTGGGAGTCTTACAATGCAATGATTTGTTTCCAGAACTTGATTTCTTGGAGCATTATCTTATTTGATACAAGAGAATTCTACTGTTATTTCTTTGAATAGAACATGATTAAAGAGTTGCCAGGGAATCAGAACAAAAGGGAATGCTTTACATTCAAAAGGCTCGCAATCAGTAATGAAAGGTCAGAATGGCACCTGCCATCTGAGATGGAAATAGGGTTTCCATTTCCCCAGCAGGGTGACAGACTTTCAGTTCCCAGCTTTTCACCTCTGCGTTTCAGCTCAATTCAACAGCAGAGCCAGCCTGCTTCCCTGGGCTGAAACACAAATTGAGCACATTTGGTTACTTCTATTTTGTTCAGAGCAGCAATTTGGATGAAAAAAAATAATAATTAAGATGAGTGACCCAGCCCTCCATGTTGTCTTTGGAGGGACAGTCTGCCCTAGTGTAAGGGTGAAATTCGGGGAATCAATAACGCAGTTAGACTTAGCTAGCTTGCAGCTTAATTCACTTCGTAGCTTGCTTTCTAGCCACTTGTAGTTAGGCTTAGCTAGTTTCCAGTTAGATCCACCCTGATATTCAGTTGTTTTCTTTGTTTTCCCCCTCACTAATTGACTTAAAAACCCTGTCCTAAGTGTACACATATCTCGTTAATCCATGTAATCAACAGAATCCCAACTTGAAAAGAGCAATTCTTAATCCTCAGGCGCTGGGACACCAGAATCCAATTTATAACTCCCTTGCAGTTTTTTTTGTTCTTTAAACTTTATTGGGGAACAGCCATGGTTATTGCAGTTTTTACTGGTGATACATAAAGCCCCAGGCCACGGTGGCCAAGTCTAAGTCCAGAGTCCTGAGATAACATTATCTTAAAACACACCAGACCCCAAGAAGCATGTCAGCTGTCAGACTTGTGTGACCAACCTCCCCCCACCCCATTTTCTTTGTTTTTTTTTTCTTGTGTACCATAAAACCTTCTGACCCGTCTAGAAACAGGAAGATGGCCTTTGGACAGGAGTCCGCCATCCTCCCAGAATGCCGGCATTCTGAATAAACCTACTTTTCTTTCCACCAACCTTGTCTCTCGATTTTTAACTTTTCAAAAGGCAGGCAGCCAGAACCTTAGCACGGTACCAATAGGTTTGATGAAAACATTCTCGCTGAAGTGAACTTAACACAGGAGCCCAGTAAAACGAGACTGCTCACTGGATCAGAGTTTTGGAACCATTTAAAACAAAAAAATACATATCTTATGGCAACTAGTACATCAAAGCAGTGAACTCAAAGAGTTGCGTTTCAGTTCAGACACCAAACGTGTGGCCATGGAATCCAGGATTAATTAGAGCAAATAACACATCCACACACAGTCCAGGCAATTTCTCCCTTGGATCACATCTGTATTTCTTTGGATTCATGTTTAGAAAAGATGGATATACAAATGAACCTAGACATGTGCTTAGGCCAGGAGCTGCAGAATTTAAAAATGCATGCAAATCCAAGTCATAGCTTTCCCAAGTCAGAGTTTCCTGATCAGGGAAGTTTTACCTCTGTCCCCATGAGTGTGCATCCCAGGGGGCTTGACAACATCCTGAGCCTCACAAACAACCTCTGTAGGGAAGAGGGGAATGAGGGAGGCTCTAAGGGCTGCATCTTGGATTGAACATGATAGGAAGTGATGACGCTAATTAATCAACAACCACCAATCATCAAGCACTGAGAGATCAAGGTCTTCATATTTTTATAATTTTGGTCACTGGCAACCATGGGATTAGTAACTTGGTCTGTATGTGAGTAACAGTGTGTGTGTGTGTGTGTGTGTGTGTGTGTGTGTGTGCATACATGCATACACATTAAGCGGAATAAGAGAACAGAAATAAAAGATTCCGAACAATTAATTGCCCAATTAGCTGTCTTTGCAATTATGGGAATGTGACATTAAGTTAAAAACGCAATGATCATTTAAATTAAATTGCCCATTTTGAAAGCATACTCTTGGTTCAGTCGCCATGCCAACTGGTTCTTACAGTGGTGCCTTTGCTTTTGAGAGCAGGCACAATAGTCTCGCTCATGCTAAGCCTGAGTCTGCTTGCTTAATTAACAAAGTTGAAGCCAAGGAGGGAAAGAGTTGTGGTTGGGAGCTGGCGGCTCAGCTAGACAAACTTTGCCGTGATTTCTCAGGCTTGAGGGTGGCCTGCTTCGTCTTTACATCTGAGGAAATATTGCAGGAAGAGGCAGGGCCGGGCCAGGGAAACTGCTTTGATCCAGGAGGTTGTTAGGCAATCAGTCGAAGGTCTCTTTTCAAAGCAGGGTGGTGTACGGGCAAAAATGAAAGACAAGTGAATATGAGCAAAACCTCAGATTCCAGAGTTTCAAAAACAGTACTGATTGAGGTTCGGCTGGATTCTTATCATCATTTCCTATTGGCATTCAAGAAGGGGACAGAACTTAAAAATTCTTCTTTGTCCTCTTCATTTTCAAGTATCAGACTGACCTGCTCGCCCAGCTCCAGGATGCACAAGAACCTCGATTTTCTTTGGCATCCTTCACTCCTGGCATAACGCCCACCCACTGCCCACCTAGAAAGAGAACACAGCCCTCAATACAATGGGGTCCGTGGTTCCCACATGTATCATTTTCACGTCCCTGAACTCAGAAAGAAGGGCTGAGGGGAATCAGGATTTTGAAGGGCACTGGGACCTCTTCTTGGATAGGCCTCTTCTGCCTTGGGTGGCAGCTCAGGTCCCAGAGCCTGGGGAGGGCTCTGCACCCAGCGAACATTTAACAAACGCAAGTTTCTCTGACACAGTGTTCCTGACAAAGCCCCGTTGGCCAACACTTCTGCTCTCCTGCACTATGAACTCTGGTGTCCCTAAGGGTCCTATTACAGGACATCAACCAGCACTTGCTTAAGAGTGAGGGGGGCTTTTGGATCAGGGTTTCCTGCAGGCTCTGCTGCTTCACAGTTGGGGGAACTTGGACAGGTTACCTAAACGTTCTGAGCAGCATGGAGCTTATTTATAAAATGGGGATAAAAATGGTACCTGCCCCACTGAGTGAGTCACTGTGAGGACTAAACCAGCAAATACATGAGAGGGACCTAGCACTGGTAAGTATTCAAAACTGGTAGTCTTTGTTATGATTGCTCTATATTTATTATTCAAATGTATTCTTTCAAAAGGATGGCTCAGTGTCAAAGCTAGGCCTCCAGAGAGGATCCATCAACCCCTCAGCCTGCACAGACCCTGGGGCCTGAAGGCCGAGGTGTAGGCTGACTGGGCCTGCTTTATGCTCCACCCGCACATGGCCTCCAGTAGGGCCTTCCTAAAACTGGAACTCTAAAGCATATCTCTCATACTATTTGAAGCCCTTCGGTGGCTGCCACTGACCACAGGACATAGGCAGGGCTTCTTGCATGACAGAGGGTCCCTTTGAGTCATCCCGGACCTGGGCAGAGGCAAAGTGGGCCTTGCAATGGGTCAGTGTCCAGGGTTCAATCCAGGTCTAGGGAAGATTCAGGGATGGAATGGAAACATTTTAGGGGCAAGCATTTCGGGACCTAAGGCAGACTGGGAGGTGGGGAGGGCCTGTGTGACAGCTGGGCCTGACAGTGACAGCTGGTCCGGGGTGGTGGGGAGATGCTGACCTCCCTCTGTCCCACCACTGTATGGCTATCTTGCTTCCTAGCATGTGAGGAGATGTGTGGCAGCACCTATGATGGCTTCAGTGGCTGATGTGAGAAAGAAGCCCTCATCACGGGCAGTTAAGACGCTTTAGGTTGCAAGTTACAGAAACTCCAATTCAAACAGGCTTGAAAAATAGGGATTTTTCTTGCTCATAATTCTAGAAGTCCAGGGGTAAAGCCGGCTCCAGGTCAGGGACTATAGGTGGCTCAATGATGTCATCAAAAATGCTCTCCTTGTGTCTCAGCTCAGCCATCCTTGCTGTGGACATCCTCCTAAGATGCTTTTCTTTAGAGTCTCAAGATGGCTGCCAGGGGGCCAGCCAAGTGGCTCAGTTGGTTAAGAGTTAGTTATCTTAGGAGCGTGAACTCTGAGCAACAGGGCCGACGGTTTGATTCCCACATGGGCCAGTGATGCTGTGCCCGAGCTGAGCTGCCGCTGAGCTGTCAACAGGTGGCAGGATGGCTCAGGGGGTGAGAGCATGTCTTCCTAATAACAAGACTGCTTGTTTGATGTTGGGCTATGCCCGCCCGCAACCAAGACTGAACTCGGCACCTTGAGCTTAGAGGCCATGAGCTGCCT